AAAAGAATTAATGTCTGCATTTTAAGCATTTTTATTAATTGACATACAATTGTGCATATTTATGGAGTACAATTGCTATTTCAATGATGTATACTATGTACAATGATAATATTAATTTGCATATATGTCACCTCAAATATTTATTATTTCTTTGTGTTGGGAACATTTAGTATCCTAGTAGCTATTTTCAGATGTAAAATTAATTGATTTTATGCAGTTACCTCACTGTGCTATATAGAACATTAGAAGTTATTACTCCTATCCATCTGTACCCCTGTAGCCATTAACTATCTTCTCTCCATTCTCTCTTCCCATTTCCAGCTTCTAGTGATATTTATTATATAGATTATGATGTTGTACTATAATCATATTATATCATGTATTATAAAAATACTATTGTAATAACATTATGTATTTCTAATTCATTCATCCATTCCTCCAGATAACTATTTCACACTTTCTGTTTTTTTCTGGAAACTCTAATGTCTTCTCTATTCTCAGTTTATGACTCTTGGCTTTCTACTTCACTGAAAAGTAAAGACAATCATAAGAGAAGTCCTGCAGATTTCTATCCCATGTTCCTATCTTCCTGAATCTGCCCTCCTACCACGTGTAACTTCTATGCTCCTGGCTTCAGCTAGTATTTCCACTTTTATATTAGATTGCACTCACTCTTCCCTACTCACAATGCTGCAGCAATTCTCCCCATGATTATCTACATCCTCCTATTTCCCTGTTTTCAAGATTATTTCACCAACATACAAATATGCCGTTATTTTTCCCACCATAAAAAAATATGCAAAAACCTTTCTTTTCTCCACTTTCCCTAAAAGTTGCTGCTCCAAAAGCAAAGTCTTCTGAAACAATTGCCTACACTTGCTTCTAATTTTTCTTCCCTGTTCATTCCTTTATTCCTTTTTTTAAAAGATTTATTTATTTATTTGAAAGTCAGAGTTACACAGAGAGAGGAGAGGCAGAGAGGGAGAGAGAGAGAGTTAGAGAGAGAGAGTAAGTCTTCCATCTGATGGTTCACTCCCCAGATAGCCTCAATGGCCAGAGCTGCGCCAATCCGAAGCCAGGATCCAGGAGCCAGGAGCTCCTTCCAGGTCTCCCACGCGGGTGCAGGGGTCCAAGGACTAAGGCCATCTCTTACTGCTTTCCCAGTACATAGCAGAGAGCTGGATCAGAAGTGGAACAGCTGGGTCTCATCCCTGTTCATTCTTAAAGTCACTCCAGTCAGCTTTTACCCTGACCATTCAACTAAATCATGCTTTTCTGTTTTCAAATATATTCACATGCTTACATAAAACAGCTAAATATAGTCCTCATCTATTTTACCTATTTAGTGGCATTTAAGAGATGATTATTCCTTCCTCAATGCATTATTTTTACTTGGGTGACAAGAAACTAAAGTTTGTTTATTTTCCCTCCTACCTCACTAGTCTTCCCAGTTTCTTAGATATTTGCTCCTCTTCTGAACCTCTTAATGTTGGACTGCTCCAAGGCTTAGTCCTTGGACTTCTATTCTTTTGTATATTCATTCCTCTGATAGTTTCATCCAGTCTCCCAGCTTTAAGTAAAATTTACTTGTTTTCAAGTTTCAAGAGTATCCCCTGCCCCAAATTTCTCCTGGTTCCAGTCTTGTAATACCTGATTAAAATGTTATTGGGCATCTCAAATATATATATATATATATATATATATATATATGTGTGTGTGTGTGTGTGTGTACACACACATATATATTATATAGCAGAACTACATCCATAGTAGAATAATGATCTTCTCTTACACCTCCCAATGGACCCACTCTCCACAAGATGCTCCAGTCAACTCTACTCTACAGTTGAAGCCAATCTCATGCTTCCAATCTGTTGGCCTAGAGTCATCCTTGACTCTTTCCCCCTCATCCTCAAGGTCAAGTGGTCTTAATTGATCATGGGTTCATATTTTCACTGGGAGCTTGGTTTCTTCTGGGAGTATAAGTCCTCTTCTAAGATTGTGTGGCTATTGAAATAATTTAGTTTCTTTTTTTTTTAATTTATTTGACAGATAGAGTTATAGACAGTGAGAGAGAAAGAGACAGAGAGAAAGGTCTTCCTTCCATTGGTTCACCCCCGAAATGGCCGCTACAGCTGGCACAGCGCCGATCCGAAGCCAGGAGCGAGGTGCTTCTTCCTGGTCTCCCATGTGGTACAGGGGCCCAAGGACTTGGGCCATCCTCCAGTGCCCTCCCAGGGCACAGCAGAGAGCTGGACTGGAAGAGGGGCAACCGGGACTAGAACAGACACCCATATGGGATGCCGGCGCCGTAGGCAGAGGATTAACCAAGTGAGCCAAGTCGCAGGCCCTGAGAATTTAGTTTCATGCAGTTCGAAAACTCATGTTGGCTTGGCTCTTCTTCAAGATCACCAAGAGGTTGCCTGTCCCATCTATTTCTTTTGGGATCTCTTTAAGGCCTGATTAATTCACACACATTCAGAACGACCTCCCTTCAGTTACCTCAAAGTCAGCTATCGAGGAAACAATCACATCAGCAAAATCTCTTTATTTTTAACATGATCTAATCAGAGGAGTGATAGCCCATCTTATTCACCAGGTTTCTCCCATACTCAAGAGGAGGTCCTTACACAGGGGGCAGGAACATCGAGTCCATCATAGAACTCTGCCTTCCTCCCTAAATAACTCAGAAGACTATAATGATAACATCTCAGTATCCCAAGTACATACAACTTCAAACTCCTCCAACCTTTCTCAGTAAACCAATTCCAAAAGCTCCTCTACACCTTCAGGTATAGTTAATAGTAAGAACCCCATTTCTGGTACCATAAGTCTGTTTTAGTCAGGGTCCTCTCGAGAGACACAGAATTGATAGAAAACAGCTAGAAGTAAATGAAGGGGAATTTATTAGGGGGTTTGTCTCACATAATTGTGATTGCTGAGAAACCCAATCAGAGGCTGTTTGCAGGCTGGAAAGAGATGCCAGTGGTGTGGCTCAGTTCAAGTCCAAAGGCCTCAGTATCAGAACAGCCAAGGATGTAAATTTCAGTTAAAGGCCAAAATGTCTGAGTGCAAAGAAGGCTGCAGGGGTAGTCCTGGAGTACAAATGTTTGCAACCAACGTCCAAGACAGAGTCGGGGTGTCCCAGATCTTTATCTGCTAAAGCCCCAAATCACCTTCTCATTTAGTCTTTCTGTATCCCCAGCCCATTGTTGACGCCCACCCACATACAGATTGGGTCTTCCAAACTAGTGCACTGGGAATCACCTAGTAATCTCCTTAGGAGACACCCTCACAGAAACACTCAAAATAACGCACTTCCAGCTTACTAGGTGTTCTTTAATATAGTCACGTTGACACCATAAAATTAACCATCACGCAAGTGATGTCTCCTCTAACTCCAGGTGGTTAGTGTCAGAATTAAATTAAATGTGGGCACTGTATTCATGTTAGAGAAGTTATGTTGATCACCTAATAAAGAATTTCAGAATAATTTAGAAATAGTAATAAAGTCATTGAAACAAAGAGGCCACAATTTCCAGCAAAATATATAAAGGAACATATGGGATGGATTATCAAAACCTAGTAAAAGACTAATCACAATCTGGACCACAACAACTGCTACTCATTCCGTTTGTCACAAAAGATAAAGTTTCACTGCAGGTTTCCAGCAAGAAGGAGGTGGAATTTGAAACCAGAAGTCCACAACAACCCTTTCCATTTTTTTTATCTACTTTTGATCAATAAAACAGGATAATAAAATGGCATGTAGTTCTGACACTGGGATGTGAGTCCTGTTGTTGGAAACATCATTTTGGAATTTTCTCAGAGCCCTGAATTCGAAAATCCCCTCCGCATTCATTGGGTAGCAGACACAATGAAGAAAAAGGGTGGACATATTGTCCCTGGGCAAAGAAAGGAGAGAATTAAGAGGAAGCCATAGTCAACAATACCAAAACTGGGAAAAAACCAAGAAAATGACTGTCTTTTCCAGAAGAATCAGTTAGTCAATAATCTTACTCAAATGTGTACTTAAACATTAACACATTTCAGAATCCCCAGACTCAGTGTGTAGGGTGGGGAACCAATCATATCCTACATGTACTTCAGTAGGCCTGCAGACTGCTTTTAATGTTTAATCCTGGAACAGGCTTCCAAGTGTCCCCCACTGCAAGCCTCTGTACTCTTTTTCTGAAGGGATCACCAGGCCATTTCCCAACCAAGGAAACACATATAGAACAAAAGGAGATTCTAATTAGGTAACAATTTTGAATAGACTAAAGTGCAGGAGACATGAAATTCAGAGTCAGTCACAAATACTGACTTTTAACAGAGTCTCTGGTTTCAGAATCAGGTTCGCAGGACTGGGAAAGCTGCTAAGGCTAAAGTCATAAAGTGGCTCCCAGGTGAGGGGGCAAAAGAACAGAAGTGATCCTCGTAGCATAACTGTCTCATGACATCAAACTGATATCTTGACCTTCCTAGTTGGATGCTATAACTCCGGGTCCACTAGATTAGAAAACAGAAGTTAATAATTCCAGGGCTCAACTCTGCTATTCTGTGCTACTTTGAACAAGATACTTGACCTTTCTGCAGCACATTTTTTTCTCCTCTATAAAATGATAATAATAACATCTTGCCACCTACCTCTCAGCAATTTTGTTATTGCTGATTTTTTTTTTTTTGCATTTCCACAATGTGCTGGTGAGTGTAAAATTTTGCTCCACAGAGTTTAAGTTCACAGACCAACTAATATACAAGGAGCAAGTTCATCATAGTTTTTATATGATTATTCATAGTCACAGCTTTATATTCTTAAAGTCATCTCCTAACAACTCAGCCCTGAGCAGAACAGCATATAAATACTACACACCAGATAGAAGTGGTAGCTAATGGTTATTTCTTCACTGTATTTTGGTTTTCTTTTAGTCCTTCATAGTGAATTCATTATCCTAGAGGAAACTTATGCCTACAAAGTAATTTTTTTTAATTTAAAAATAATTTTATAAACAGATTCTTATATAAAGAAGCAGCTTATACACAGCACCCAATTACCAACAAGGTGGGCCCTGTCACTCTGCACTTGGAAAACAGAAGACAGGAAAAATGATCCCGCTTCGTTCTTCACTTTCTCCATCTATGCAGTCAATCTTTCAAGCAGAATTTCCACTCCTTTGCTGGCATTTTTGTTTTTTTCCAATGTGGGAATCAGGCTTTTCAATCTAGCTCGGACTTTGCCTGCAACTTCTTGGTCAGAGCTCTGGAGAAGGCTGGAAAGGATTATGGCACCTCGATTGACGCTGGCCCACGACTTCAGGTTCTTAACACCAACATGCTCTACCAGTGCTTTTGCAAAGCAACCTTCTCTTCCACTTTCTCTCATCTTTCTGTCTTGCTCTATCAACCACTTCAGAACCAGATGTCCTGCAGGATGTTCCGCAACATGAAGCTCTCCGTCGCTGCCGCCAGGATGCAGGGGTGCCGCTGCCAGGGTGGCGATGGCAGCCATGGCGGGCTGGACGTCCCCCGTGGCAGATCCAAGAATGCTGGACACTAACACACACGCAGACTTATCTAGCACCAGCTCCTGGGCGTGTCCTTGTAGGTAGCTTAGCAAAGCTGGAGAAATGGACTCTAAGAGCTCACGTCGGCGGATCTCTGTATCTTTCTTACTGTGTGCATTTCCATCTCCTTTCTGTAGAACTTCGATGATTTCTCGTACTGGATGGGCAGGATCTCTGGGGCTTAGTAAATATAACAGGACCTTTCTTCCATATTTGTCATTTACAATGCTAGGCAAGGAACTGATAATCTCTGATATGATTATCTGTTTCACAAGCTTAGTATCGTCAATGCAATCAAATGCTGCCAGTAAAACCAAATGTGAATATTGGCCATTAGCCACCTTCTCAACATAAGATTTCATTGTTTTCACAATCACTTTCCTGTCCTTGGGCGTTCCATGCCACAGACAGTGCATGGCCACTCTGGCGCCATCGTGTGTGTGTGCCAGGTAGGTCACCGCTTCCCGGATAGCTTCAATCACTTCTGATTTGAGTTTTGGGGGTGCATAGGTAAAAAAGTCCAAGAATACTTTATGCACCAACGAGTGCTTAATCACAGCTTCCTTTTGAGCCATTGGCGTTAGAATCTGTTTCATTTCATCCATAATAAGCTCTAATTTTTCTGGCTGTACCTCTAACACTTTGTCCAGAGTTGGATGATCTGCTGACTTGTAAAGCTGAAACGTATTTCCATAGAGTTCCTCTGTGAGCATGTTCCTCTGCTCCAAGATGGCTTTGTCATTGTAGGCATACTCTACAATAGCTGACGCCTCTGCATGCCGCAGCATCTTGCGCACATGGCCTTTAAAACTTCTGATTATCTCTGCAACCTGTGGTTTACTTCCATACATAAGAAATTTCTTAACAATATTTCTGGAGTATTTGGATTTACTTAATTCAACCAAATCACCTTGCAATTCTTCAAATGCCTGTCTTCTCTGTTCTTCATTGCCATACTGAATGTAACACTGGATCACAAGCGTTGAATCATGTGCAAATGCAATAGTTTTAATTTTCCCTTGAATCAACTTCTGCAAGTCACTCATTAACTTTACTCTTTTGTCTTTGTCACAGTCTTTTCTTCTCAGGATCTCCCAAATCTGCTTTGCCCGAACAACAATGTCATAGTTGGTTTTATCACTCAGTTGCCTGCTCTGCTTCAGTTCTTTCTTCTTCTTTTTGAAGTCATCCCATTTGGGTTTCTTGGCTGCTGATTCATCACTTTTATTGTCTGACTGGAATTTTCTCTTCTTGCTGAATTTATTTGCCGCCTGAAATTTGTTCTTCGATCCTTTGTCCCCTTGTTGCTTAGTCTTGAACTGCTTCACACCCTTTTTCCCAGGTTTTGTGGCACTCTTCTCAAAGTTCTTTGATGTGATTTTAGGTCCACCTTCCTTAGTAACTTTCCTTGGGAATGTCTTTGAAGAACCAGAATCGCTGTTTTTAGGAAATCTGCTTTTTTCTTGCGATGGCTTTGTATTCTTTCTTGTGAAATTTTTTTTTCCCCTTTACTTCCATTATAGCCAACTTCCACATGTGGGGCAAAGTCGGGCACCAGCGGCAGACCCTACAAAGTAATTTAAAGAGAATCCTCTTTTCCTCACATTGTCTGTGTTACTGCCCTCATCTTAGTCTGTTTGGGTTATCATAACAAAATTCTATTAACTGATGGTTTAAACAACAACAAAATTGTGTTATATTTATAGAGACTGAATGTCCAAGGTCAAGTTCCTGGCCAGTTCTGTTTCTAGGGAGGTTTCCCTTCCTGGCTACCAACAGCTGTCTTCTTGTCATGTCATCATTGACGTTGTTCCTCTGTGTAAGCTCAAAGAGAGACCGGGCTCTCTGTTGCCTCTTCCTACAAGGAAACTCATTGTATTGAGTCAGGGTGTCAGAATTGTGACCTCACTTAATGTGAATTACTTTCTTTCAAAGATGTGTGCCCTGAAAACTATAAAGCAATGATGAAAGAAATAACAGGTGACACAAATAAGCGGAAAATTGTCCTGAGTTCACAGATGGGAAGAATGAATATCATTAGAAAGTTCATTTTCCTCAAATTGATTTACAGATATCTTGCAATCACTACAAAAAAACCACCGACTTTTTTCACAAAAATAAACAAAATCATCATTAAATTCATAAAAGATCCTGAATATCCAAATCAAGCTTAAGTAAAAAGAACAAAGTAGAAACACCATCATACTTCATGTTAAAATCTACAATAAAGCTATACTAATTAGAACCATGTTGCACTTGAACAAAAATAATACCATTGGAATGGAACTAGTGGAGCAAGAGTCTGAAGTCAGATCCATGCATTTACTAAAAACTGTTTTTTTTTTTTTTTCAAACATGTTTATTTATTTCCATCTACTTGAAAGGCAAAGAGAGAGAAAGCTTCCTTCAGCTGATTCTCTCCTCAAATGCCCGTAAGGGCTAAGGTCAGGCCACGCCAAAGTCAGGAGCCCAGAACTCCATCTGAACTTACCTGGTGGGTGGTGGGGGTTCAAGCACTTGGGCCATCACCTGCTGCCTCCCAGGATGCATGAGCAAGATCAGAAATGGAGTGAATCTTGAACCAAGCAGTCCAATATGGGATGTAGGCATGCCAAGTGGTAGTTTAACCGGCTACACCATGATGCCCCAACTGTCAAATAACCTTTGACAAAAATACCAGGAACAAAAACAGAGAAAGGATTGTCTTTGCAATAAATGATGTTGGGAAAATTAGTTATCAAAATGCAGAGGAGGGGTGAGTGTTGTGGCACAGTGGGTTAGCCTGCCACCTCGGACACCCACATTCCATTTTGGAGTGTCTGAGATTTGAATTCTACCTCTGTTTCTGATCCAGCTTCCTGCTAACGCACCTGGGATGCAGCAAATGTTGGGCCAAGCACTTGGGTTCCCATCACCAATGAGGGAGACCCCAATGAAGTTCCTGGGCCCTGACTTCAGCCCTGCCTAGCCCTAGCTGTTGTGGCAATTTGGGGAGTAAATCAGCAAACGAAAGAGTCTCTCTCTCTCTCTCTCTCTCTCACTCTCTCTCTCTCTCACCCAGCCTTTTCCTTGTCACTCTGTCTTTTAAATAAATAAGTAATTTTTTAATGCAAAGAAATTAGAATTTCACTGAGCAAAATATTCATGTCAACTCAAAATTTATTAGACTTGAAAGTAAAATCTGAAACCATAAAACTACTAAAAGAAAAGATAGGGGGCCGGCACCACGGCTCAATAGGCTAATTCTCCGCCTGCAGCGCCGGCACACGAGGTTCTAGTCCCGGTTGGGGCACCGGATTCTGTCCTGCTTGCTCCTCTTCCAGTCCAGCTCTCTACTGTGGCCCAGGAGTGCAGTGGAGGATGGCCCAAGTCCTTGGGCCCTGCACCCACATGGGAGACCAGGAGAAGCACCTGGCTCCTGGCTTCGGATCAGCGCCGTGCGAAGGCCACAGCACACCGGCTGTAACAGCCATTGGGGGGTGAACCAATGGAAAAGGAAGATCTTTCTCTCTCTCTCTGTCTCTCTCTCATTGTCCACTCTGCCTGTGAAAAAGAAAAAAAAAAAAAGAGGGGAAAACCTCTGTGACATTAGTTTGAGTAATGTTTTTTTTTTTTTCCTCTCAAAAGCACAGGCAAGGAAAAAAAATAAACAATTGGGATTGTATCAATCTAAAAAGGTCTACATAGTAAAGAAAGAAATTAATAGAATGAAGAGACACCTATGGACTGGGAGATAATATTTGTAAACCTTAGATCCAATAAGGGACTACTATACGAAATATATAAGGAATTCAAACAGCTCAATAGCAAGAAAATCAATAACAATGAGAAATGGGTAAAGGATTTAAATTGACTTTTCTTAAAAGAAGACATACATATGGCCAACAGAAATTTAAATCAGTAGAGAAAAGAGATAATGGCACACCCATGTTCATTGTAGAACTAGTGACAATAAGCAAGATATGGAAGCAACCTGAATGTGCATGTATGGAGGAACGGATAAAAAAAAAATCTGGTTTAAACACACATTTGAAAAAAGAAAAGGAAGCAAACAAACAAAAAAAGTCAGCTACACAAAAGGATATTCTTTCTTTTAAAAAATAAAGGATAATCTTTCATTTGCAACAACATGAATCAATCTAGAGGTTATTATGCTAAGTGAAATAAACCAGGAATATAAAGATAAATCTTGCAAAATCTCACTTGCATGTGGACTCTAACAATATGGAGATCACAGAAGCAGAGAGCAGGGTGGCACCTACCAGAGGCCTGGAAAGCAGAGCTGATGGGAAAAAGGGCATGGTGAGTAAAAAGCGCGAACAGAAATCTTTTATGGTCTACTGCATTGAATGGTGACTATAATAAACTATTGTGTACCATATATTTCAAATGTGCTGGATGAGGATATCTTAAATGCTTTCACCACAAAGAAATGATAAGCATGTGGGGCGATCTAACTGTCCATTAGTTTGATTTAAACATTCCACAATGTTTAAATGTATCAGTACATTAATTTAACATATCCTTATTCTTATTGCTTTTTATTTATATGAATGGAACAAATTTCATGTATTTCATATATACATGAGGGGCAGTTTTTTTTTTAAAGATTTATTTATTTATTTGAAAGTCAGAGTTACACAGACAGAGAAGGAGAGGCAGAGAGAGAGAGAGAGAGAAGCCTTCTATCCACTGGTTCACTCCCCAGTTGGCCACAGCAGCTGGAGCTGTGGCTAATCCAAAGCCAGGAGCTTTTTCCAGGTCTCCAACATAGGTGCAGGTGCCTAAGGACTTGGGCCATCTTCCACTGCTTCCCTAGGCCATAGCAGAGAGCTGGATCAGAAGTGGAGCAGCCAGGCATGGAACTGGCACCCACATGGGATGCCAGCTCTGTAGACGGTGCCTTACCCAGTATGCCACAGTGCCAGCCCCTAAAATACAGTTTTAAGAGCATAATGATATTTTTCACCCTACCCTTTCTTTTCTTATTTTTCTTTTAATCTTTACAATAACATACTTTCAGTTTATTTTAATATATAAGTGACTTTTATCAATTTAAAAAAGCCCTTTAGCTATAGCCTAAAGACTCTATCTCCAAATACTATCACTTTGGGATTTAGCTCCTCTGAACATATGAATAGATCTGGAGGTAAAACAAGGCAGTCCATCTCCTTTCTAAAAGAGGTATGCTTTATGAGAGGTTTGTTATACAGAGAGGAATGATCTTGAGTAAGTTGAACGAGAGATGCCAGTAAGACATGTTTAGTACCACCAGAAATTGCCTAAATCATATATTTTCAAACATTTTAGAGAAGCAGAACTTTTTTAGAAGTATATATTTAATTGACAAATCAATATCTTATACATATATTTATTTTGTCTTGAAATAAATGTTATGAAATGGCTAAATTGAACTACTGACCATATGACTTACCTGAGATATTTATTTGTAACGAGAACACTGAAAATATATTCAATTACTTTCCAGAATATAATGCATTGTTATTAACTATGATCACCATACTGCCTGGAAAATTTCTTGAAAGTTGTCCTCCTATCTGACTAAACATGTTGCATTCTTTCACCACATCCCTCCAGTGTCAACATCCTAGACCCAGGAGTCATCATTCTATATCTCATTTTATGAACTGAGCTTTCATACACTTTACATATAAATGAGTTTATTGTGTATTTTTGTTTTGATGTCTCACTTATTTTATTCAGCATAATGTCCTCCACATTCATCCATGTTGTTGCAAATTGTCAACATTTCCTTCTCTTTTGCAGCTGAATTGCATTCCATTGTGTGTGTGTGTGTGTGTGTGTGTGATGTTTTCTTTAGTCATTTATCCTTTGTTGGATATTCAGGTTGATTCTATATCATTGCTATTGTCAATATGGTTGCAATGAGAATCAAAGTTTGAATATTTCTTGGACATGCTGAATTCATTCCCTTTTGAAATGCAAATGGTCTCCTACTGCAACATTTCAACTTACAACTTATCGACTTTACAATGTTACAAAAACAATACTTATTCAGTAGAAATCATACTTCAGAGTTTGAAGTTTAAGTATGATTTCTACTGAAAGCATTACATGTAGTGGAACACTCTCCTGATGCTGGGCACAACAACCAGCTGTAACTTCCAGTATGTCACACAACTGCAAAGATTAAAAGAAAAAAAAAAAACATTATTCTGCAGGGTACTGAGTTGCTAACTATGAGATTCAGTAGGGTAAATGCGTGATGTAACCCTATCACAAGTCAAGGAGCACTGTATAGCCAGTCGTAGGATTGAAGTCTTGGTGGTTTTATGTGCCTAAGAATTTACTCATTTCTTCATTTCTTCAAGTTTATCTTACTTGTTGGCATAAAGTAGTCTTTTAAGATCCTTTGTATATATTGAAAACAGTGGGGCTAGCATATATTGAAAACAGTGGGCACATATATATATATATAATATATATATATAATATATATATATTGAAAACACCGTGGCACAATA